AGGGGCTACTGTGAGACTGTATACAGTAAGGCAGGCAAAGGTGTGTGCCTCATCCATGCAGCCAGCAGCCGGGGTTTGAATCCCAGCTTTGCCACCAACTCACTGCCTGACATTGGGCCAGTGGGCTGCTCTGAGCCATGGTTGGCTCTGGTACATTATTGGGCATCAAAAAAGTATTTTATATCATTATGGCCATAGTCACAAATCAGCTGACAAGTTAAACTCCTTTTAGAATCAGGGTGAGAGGGAAGGATCAGCCTTCTCTTTCCACTGATGAGATTTTAATACGGAGGCATTTCCCAGAATGCTCTGGGAAATACCAGCCGTGGAAAGACATCAACAAATAGAGGGCCTGGTACTTGGAATGAGCTTGGGTAATGCTGAGGTAAGCAAAGGTGAGCAGCATTTTTGCTGCAGGAATTTTCATAGCTTTTAGTAAGAAGTATCACAAAGCTCCATGAGCTTGGTGACTCAGTGATGTTTCCCTAGATTCATTTCATCAGGGACCCCTATGAGGCATGCACAGGACACATTGGGGATGAACTACTGCTACATGTCTCCTTCTGTTTTGGTTTCCAGCAAGCTTTGGTCTCCATCCATGCTCGCCAGAGTCATCAAACCAAGGGGGATGTGGCCAGTTTATCCCCGACCCTGCGGTACTGGTTTTTCATTTCTGGTTTTCTGTCTATCTATCTTTTAGTGTGGGAGGCCTCAGATGGAAGCAAGAAGGGCAGGGTTAGCATCATCTGGTGAGTCCGGCTGGAACTTAGGCAATTCCTCTTCTTTTTCCCCGATCCTGGGAACTGAACCAAGGGAGTACTGAACTTTTTATTTATTTATTTATTTTTTAGCTAAGGATCTTTTAATTGTGTAGGCTGGCCTTGAACTTGTGATCCTCCTGCCTCAGCCTCCCAAGTAGCTAGAATTATAGTACTGAGCAGTCTGAGCTCTGAGAAGCTGAAGGCAGGGCTAGGGTGCAGCTACCACTGGGGGTCCCTGCAAGGTTTGTTCGTATTTTGCCCTGGGTGATGAAGAAAGGAGAGCAAGTGTCAGTATGTTTATGTCTTGTGAGTACCACTTAAGAAAGTAAGCGTCATCTGTCCTGGTCATGGCTGACCTCCAGGATGAACCAGTATCTGCTGTTGCTGCATTTAGCAGTGTTAAGAAAGGCAGAAGCAGCGGGCCATGGGCCACAAGGCTGGATTTAGATGAGGTGGTCTTAGGAAGGGAGAACCAATGGGATCTACTCCCCACATCCGCTGTGGCCACCCTGAGAGCTGCAGGCCACTGAGAAGCAGGTCCCAGGACTCTGCCTGCAGCAGCAGGGAGCAGCCGGGGCATCACAGGGAGGCTGCCTGTGTCCTGGGGTTGCAGGGTGGGCAGGTATCATTTCCTCTTTCTTTGACCCCTGAGCCCCCTGTATATAAGTCTCTCTCTGTATCTTTCATTTGACTTAGGTGCATACCAGGAAGGATTGGAGAAAGTATTCCTACCCCACACCCTTGTTTCTCTAGTGTATTTCAATCCACAGGTAGCAGACCACTAGTGGGCAGAGAAGTCAGTTTTGTGGGGCATGACCAGCACTTTTTCTTTTTTTTTTAGATATTGGGGATTGAATCCAGGCCTCACAAATGCTAGGCAAGTACTCTAGCACTGAGCAACATCCCTGGTCCTTTTAATTAATTAACTTTATTGCAGCACTGGGGATTGAACCCAGGGTCTTTGTACTGAGCTGTATTCCTAGCCCTTTTCAAATATTTTAAAATTTTGAGACAAGGTCTCCTTAAGTCATGAAATTACCCAAGCTAGCACAGGGATATAGCTCAGTGGCACAGCGCCTGCCTGGCAAGCATGAAGTCATGAGTTCAATTCCTGGTACCAAAAATAAATAAATAAATAAATAAATAGGAGCACACACTTTTTTTTTTTTTTTTAAAAAAAGAAATTACCCAGGCTAGGCTCAAACTTTGATCCTTCTGCCTTCTGCCTCAGCCTTCTCCAAGTGCTGGGATTACAAGCCTATACCACCAAACCCAGCTTTTTATTTTATTTTGAGACAGAGTCGTGCTAGGTGGCCTGGGCTAGTTTGGAACTTTCAGTCCTGCTGCCTCAGCCTCCCAAGTAGCTGGTATTAGAGGTGTGCACCACTGTGCCTAGCTACAACCAGAATTTATAACATGAGATAGAACAGGATGGATTAGAGGGCATTGGATGCAGAGGGGCTGTTAAGTATTATTTCATGAGTGCTAGATGGGTGGGTGAATAGGAAAGCAGATAGGTTGTCATGTCACGTGGGTTACTGTGGACTGTGCTCCACGAAGTTTGGAAGCTGGTGACTGGCCGACTCCAGGTGGTGGCACCAGCTGGGCAAGGTGGATCTGCTCCCTGTGTCTGTTCTGTCCTCTAGACCTTGAGAAAAAGGTACCCTCCAAAAAGTGCTTGTGATGATTGCTCCTCTTTGAAAGAGACATTTTCACTGTCAGTGAGGTTATTGAGTTAGGGGTCCCCGGCTGAAAAGCATGTCACTTCTGGCTGGTGGGGAGGTAGGGATGCAGCTGGGTGTGTCAGGCAGACTCTGCAAGCTGTGTGATGAGGGGAGGATTGGACTAGGGCACTCCAGTTCTGCTTTTTATCTTAGGTTGCCACTCACAGCTGTGTGATTCAGGGCAAGTGACTTGCTCTCTCTGGCCTCAGTTTAGTCAGATATAAGGGGAAGAATAGGATCAGGAGATTTCTAAGGTCTAGATCTCCCCAAAAGACCTAGTCTAGTTTGTAGACCCCAGTAGGGAGGGGGGAAGGCTGCCCCCTGGCGGTGGTGAGGTACAGGATGACAGAGGAGCTGGAGCCGGAGCCTGGTCTCCATGGACAGCATTTATTAGGCGCCATTCTCAGTGTGAAGACAGATAGGCAGGGGGCGCTGAGGGGGGCCTGGCAGCCACAGCCTGGGGAGTTCAGGGGCTGCCCGGGTGGGGTGTGGGCGTGGGGCATGTCACCCACACATATTGCATATTCTGTGGCAGTGTGCCCAGGCATAAGGCATCGGGGAAGCAGAAAGGCTGCCTGCAGTTGGAGGGGTGAGAAGGGAAGTGACACTGGCTTTCCAGTTCTTGAGGAAAGACCCAGCCGGAGACCAGCAGTCTGCCATGCTCTGCCCCGGGCCGCTCCGCCTCCTTCCCACCACCTCTCTGCAGCTTTGGTTGTGGCTCCCTCGGGTCTGACGTCTGACAGGACTTGACCCTCGAGGGCAGGGTCACACACAGGACAGGGGCAACCAGCATTGCCCCACTCCTAACATAAACACAGAGGGCACCTTTCTGGGCTCTAGGCCCCCTCCCGGTGGCACACGGCAGCCAGCTCCTCCACTCTGCGCAGGGACTTCTTCCCCTGGGTTCCCCCAGGGGCTAGAGGCCATGGCAGGGGTGGAGTCTCAGGCTGACCACTGCATGGGTCCCTCCCTCAGGCTTCCTTGATGGATGCCAGAGCTGGGCTGGCCGAATAGCATGGAGGAGCTGACCAGGGACAGCATGGGAAGGCAGCACTGCAGGGGAGAGGACCCTTACCCCCCTGTGACACTGCCCCAGTGCTATACCAACTCCAGCTGTGGAGTGAGCCAGGAGAGCGCCTCCATCTGCTGCTTCCCCTGAGCTTCTGGGCTGCAGGTGGGGTAGGCAGAGGCTCACTAGGCCCAGGCCCCCAGAGGAGGGGGTATTTCTGCCTAAAGCAGCAGCCTAGCTCTAGCTACTTGGAACACAAGTACTGACACTGGCTTTGGGCAGGGATCATGTCCCCGTTGACGTGCCTGCCAGCTCTCTCAGCTGCTCCGGCCGATTCCCAAACTCTCAGAGCTGGCCTTTGTTCTGTGAGACCGAGCCCTGCTCACCTGGGTCCCGAAGACCTCTGTGTTTGTAAGCAGGCAGCCTGGAGGTATCCGGAGCCAGCATGGTGAGCTGAGCCTCAGAAGGGCCCAGCAGGATTTCGGGCTCTGCTTTAAACCCAGCTCCTTTAGGACCCTGGGCACACAGGGAGGAGCTCTGTTTCCGGAAGTGGGCTGGGCCAGAAGGGAAGAGTACTTGGGCTAGGAAAAGCAGATGGGTTCTTGCTCTCCTTTCCTTTTGCCATCGTATCACCCTGGGAATGCCATTTTGCTTCTGTCCTCATTGGTAAAATGGGGATAAGAACTCTTGCCCTAGTGACCTAAGTGGAGTGTTGTGAGACTCAAACCAATGAGTAGGCAGGACTTTGTTTTGGGAGGCTAAAAATCACCCTACAAATGTAAGAGTTGTTGATCAGCAGTCGGCAGCCAGGAATGGCAACTCCGAGTTTTCAGTCTCAGACTCCAAGGGCAGTGTCTGGAAGGCTGGGGGCCCCCTCCCCTGCGAGGACGCCAGGAGAGGCCAGCCCTGCAGACAGGGCTCTCTTGCTGTCTTGTCTGTCTCTCTCTTGCTGTCTTGTCTGTCCTTTCTTTCTGTCCTGCCCTCTGGGGACTAGCTTTAGGGACTGCCGGGGTTCCACTTTCTCCATACTGCAAAGCCATGCAAAACAACACAGAAGGTAGTGGGGGCTGGGAGACACAGCTGGGGAGGAGGAAGGGGAGTGGGGCTGAGTAAGGGTGACCTGGACAAAGACACCCTGGCTTTTGGAGCCAAGGGGAGGTGGGAGACCTGGCAGGACAGAGGTATAAATAGAGATGCAAAACGTACATGGAACACGAAGTCCCCTGGGGCGGTGGGGGTCTGGGTACCAGCAGGGCCTCTGAGGACTGGGGAGCTTCTTAGATTTCCCAAAGGACAGGAGGCTCCCAGCTTCTGCCTTCCCTCCTCGACCCCCTTCCCCTAAGTTTCACATTTCTTGGAATTTGAAGGGCTTGGATGGGGGGCTCCAAGGGTCCTAAGAGCCCAGCCTCCTGCCAGCTGGTGCGAGCAGGCACAGTCGGAGATGGGGGCTGAGGGACAGAAGTGGGGGCACGGGGGAGTCCCACGGGCCAAAGGCGGCTTGGGGGGCCCTCCTGGCCCACCCCTGCCGCACTGGGCCGAGCCCCCATCCCGCTCGCAGGGGCGCCAGGCCCCGCGGAGGTCACACGGAGCTCCGGCGCTTCATGAGGCCGCGGAAGGTGGACAGGCTGTGCAGGCCCGTGGACACGGAGCTGATGGCCGAGCGCTGCGTCCCGCTGCACAGGCAGCGGTGCGAGGGCGTGTCGCTGTAGCGGCCGCCGCCTCCCGGCGACGAGTGGCTCTGCTCCACGCAAGTGTCGGACGTGGAGAGGTCCCGCGGGATGATCATGGGGATGGAGTACTGCAGCTTCTCGCGGCTCTTGTACCAGAGGCAAGAGCACATGGACTGGAAGTGCAGCACCTCGGCGTAGACGTTGCGGAAGCCGCCCGCGCCGCCGCCCGCGGCCACCATGGACGAGGCCGTGTCGGTGGTGTGCACGCTGTCACCCACGCCCGCGCTCAGGCAGCTCAGGCCGCCCAGGCCGCCGCCCCCCGCCTGCCCGTTGCGCGTGAGCAGCGCGCGGTGCTCTGCGTCGCGCTTCTCGTCCTCCGCGTTCATAGTCATGAAGCGCAGCACCACGAGATTGAGGAAGGCGCCGATGACCGTGAGGCCCGTGAGGATGTAGACGAAGCTGAAGGCCACGTACTGTGGCTGCGTCTGCAGCGCCTCGTCCTTCTGCAGTGCCACGTAGTCGCCGAAGCCGATGGTGGTGAGCGTGATGAAGCAGTAGTAATAGGCCTGGAAGAAGGTCCAGCGCTCGTAGTAGGAGAAGGCGGCCGCGCCAATGCACAGCGTGCTGATGCACGAGACGAAGCCGATGAGCACCATGTTGGCCATGGACACGTCGGCGCGCCGCATGCCCAGCCCCTTCTTGGCGCGGTGCAGCAGGTACCTCACGAAGGTGTTGATGCGCTCGCCCAGGCTCTGGAACATGACGAGCGTGAGCGGGATTCCGAGCAGCGCGTAGAACATGCAGAACACCTTGCCACCATCCGTGCTGGGCGCTGCATGGCCGTAGCCTGGGGAAAGCGGGGTGGGGGAGAGGAGAGAGAGCAAACGCTGTGGGTTGCGCTTTCAGGGACCTTGGCCTCTGTTCCCCCCACCCCCTGCCGAGGGATGGGCCTCCGAGGGATGGGCCTCCGAGGCCTGTGTCCCCGGGCAACGCCCCGGCCCCAGCTTTGCGCCTTTGCAAGTGTGCTTGTTGACAATTCCAGAAGGCAGATAGGAAGGAAGCAGTCCAAGGACACGGTGTTTGGAAGCAGAGCAACCCGAGTTTACCCTCGAATCTGCTTGGCTTCAAAACTTGGACTGTTCTGTATACCTAGTGAGGGAGGCAGCTCCTGGTGCTGCTGGGAGCAGGTGAAGGCACAGCCATCCCAGGCTTGGTTTCTGGTGCAGTGTCATGGGCTCAGGGCATGCTGCCTATCCTCTCAGGCCCTCAGCGTCCTTGAAGATGAGGGAGGTTGGACCAAACAGGTTCTGACATCCTGTGATTTGGCATGGAGGGAGGGAAACTGAAGCCTGGATAGCTCCTTGATGATTTCTCTACTGGCAGCCAAAGCTTACAGTGGGGCAAGGGGCTGGGACCTTTAAGCCTTCCTGGGGCAGCTGGCCCAGCAGTGGCAGAGAGGAAAACAGGAGACCCATGAGGGCCTCTCCCAGGTGGATAAGGGAGTGTTCCTGCGTCCTTGTCGCCCTTAGTTGGGGGCTGAAACTCTTGGGTCTTCCTGTAACTGTGGACTCAAAGAGGGTCTGTGCTCATGGTGTGTGACAAGAGCATTGGCAAAGCAGGAGCCTGACCGTCCCTCCAGGTGTGTTAACTGTCACTAGCCAGGCTGTCTCTGCACCCCTCCCCCAGCTGAGCCAGGAGCCAGGGAGAGGCAGAGCCTCCCTCTGAGCGAACCATCAAATGGTCTTGAGCCAAGAATTCTGCCTGGCTACATGGAGGGAAAATGACCCTGGACGGGAACTCAGAAGCCTTGCGCACAAGTTCTGGCCATGTCACTAGGGGCTGTGAAACCTTGAGCAAATGATTTCTCTCTGATCATGCCTGTTTATTTATAAAATGAAGTCTGCTGGCCTGGCCCTGCTTCTTTCATCAGACTATTGAGATATTTACTGCCTTTATTAGTAGAATTATGATAGCTAGTCATGTTGCTCAGTGGTAGAGCACTTGCCTTGCATGTGTGAGGCCCTGAGTTTCATCCCTAGCACCACACAAAAAAAAAAATTCTGGTGATAAAATAATGCTGGTTGCCTTTCCAGTTTTTCTCTTTTTCTAAACCTTATGAAATCTTAACCTAATACTTCTTTCGGGCAGTCTTCCTGGATTCTTCACAGCAAAAAGTGATCTTTGCCTTACTTGGATGTTCAGTTTTGAACTCCAGGGCCCCAACTACATCCGGCTAAACACTAGCTTTGGGGGAACTGCCTGGGCTTGTCGTGTTCCCCTCTATCTTTCACCTTTGTATTGCCAGCTGCTCTGAGGGAGTCCCCAGAATACACTTCAAGACTAAATTGCAGGACGGGATACTGTATGCTTTGGTGTTGGATCTGAGTTCAAATCTCAACTCTTCCATAGACTAGCTCTGTGTGTGTGTGTGTGTGTGTGTGTGTAACCTGTCTGAGCCTTGGTTTCCACATCTGTACATGTTTTTTTTTTTGGTTTTTCCCCGGTACCGGGAACCGAACTCACGACCTCGCGCTTGCCAGGCAGGGGCTTTTGCCGCTGAGCTAAATCCCCAGCCCCTGGTTTCCACATCTGTAAAATGGAGCTGTTAAGTCACTGCCTCACAGGGCTTTGAGGGGGGATAAGTGAGATAATATATGTGATGCACTCAGCCTGGGGCCTGGGGTCTGGGACATATAAAGGGCTCAGTAATGGCTCACTGCTGAATAATGAATGAAGGGCCAGATTACTCTCACGTTTCCCTGAGAACACTGTGTGGAGGTGGGGGTTGCTGAGTTCCAGTAAAGCTGGAGCCTCTGTCAGCCCGAGGCCATTGCATCTTGAAGCTTGGTGTCTGGGGACAGCTCTTGAGGTGTGTGAAGCTTTGGGGCTGCCCTTAGAATGAGCTCCCCCAGTCCCATTGTGGCATCAAGCCAGGACCCTGGACAGCTGAGCTATTGAGCCTCCGTGCCTGGCCAGTCCGTACCCCAGCAGGGTGAGAACAGATTGTGCCCGCCAGTTCAGCCTCAGCAGCCAGACCACAACTCACCTCGACAGCTGGGCAGGCCCCCAGCCAGAGCTGCTTCTTATCCTGTCCTTCCCTGTGCCCCGGGTGGGAGGACACGGCACTGGGGACAGGGAGTGTGAAGCGTGGACTTGGACCCAGCTGTGTAACCTTGGGCGAACCCCTACCCCTCTCTGGTCTCACTCTGTGTAGGGGGCGGGGATTGAGTTAAAGCTATTAATCCCTGCTGTGGCTACCTGCCAGGGCTGCTTCCAAGAGTGAAGAAAGTCCCTTGGCACCTGTGCCTCAACAGATGCAGCAGTGATGGGGTCTCACAAGAGGGGACCTGAGTGCGTAGTCCAGGTAGCAGACCCACCTCTGTGGGGTCAGGAAGCCACGGTCATCCTCGGGATGGGTGGGATGCCCTCTCTACCACCTCACTCATCCCTTCCCTTTGTTTGTTCATAGGCTTTGACTTCTCCTGGCCCCCATCTCTTAAGAAAGCCCAATGCCTGACTGGCAGCCCTGCTGGCTACCGTGGGCTGCCTGTAAACCACCTCCATCCCTGCTCCTGCCGTGACCCTCAGCAGCCACCCAGCTCTACCTCCACCAGCTGTGCCATTACCACCTCCCCACACCTTTCTTTAGTGCCCTCTTCCTGGCCTTTGCTGCCAGCCCCAGTGCCCTCAGGACCCGACTTCAGCCACAAGGGACAAACCCCTCCCCCTCCACTCTCCTCTATTAAACAGCGACTGGCAAAGCAAGTGACTCACCCAGGTCTGACCAAGGCTTTTACCAGGATAGAGTCTCCTGTCGCACCAGAGCCACTGCCTTGTCCAGGGCAGCCTTGGACTGCTCGTGCCTGACCTTGGGTCAGAAGCACCTGGCTCCCATTGTGGGCTGAGACCTCCCAAGCAGGTACAGTTCTTCCAGTACATTTCTAATATAATCCTCAAAAACTTCATACAAGGTCACTATTATCCCTCTCTCTACTTTATAGTTAGGGTCAGGAAGTCTGGAGAGAGCTAGTAAGTTGGCCGTGACCACCAGGCCTTTCTGATTCAGTGTCTGTCCAGTGCATTGGAGCTAATGGATCACCCTAGGAAGGGAAACTGAGACCCAGAGAGAGGAGAGCATTCCACTTGAAGCCTCAACCTCAGGCACTGCCCCAAGCTGGATGGGGCACGAATGGGAACTGGAGAGTGACACCAGGCAGACAGACGCTTCTCCAGATGTGGGGCCCGGGGTCCGCACACTGAACTCCTCTGCTTGTCCTGCTGTCACTGGGTGGAAAGGCAAGGGAGCTGCGAGGACCTGCTGGCGTGGGTGCCCAGCTTGGAGGACAGCCAGCTAGGGTGGAGCAGTCCCAGGGGGCTTTGGCTTCTGGGAAGTAACTGTAAGTTTGGCAAGCTCCATCTGCCTGCCAGCAGGCCTGCTGCCTGCCCACTCCCTGCCTGTGTCAGGCTTGACTGCCAGTGAGAGGCCAGAGGCATTGCCCACCACCTCCTTGTCCCATCCTGTGAGTCTCTGGGCACAGGGCTGTGTCCCTCAGTGGCGTCAAAACACACAGGTTGCTTTTGGAGGGGCTGATTCTCATCCAGAAAACCCTCAGCAGGGCTCTCCCATCTCCTCCTCTCCCTGCTTCTCTTTCCTGAATCCACTGTGGATTTAAAGATTCTCAGAGCCAGGCCTTTAGCGGTGCGAGCTTATACTTGGTCCAGTGCTTACACCGATGAGAAAATGGAGAACTAGAAAGGGAAAGCAATCTGATCAAGGCCACACAGCTGGTGAGTGACAGAACCGGATTACAGCCCAAGGTACTTGATCACAACAGCAGTGTATCATTCACTGCTGGCTGGCTCAGGTGTAACCAGAGCTATACCTGTTCATTCCACGAGGGCCAGCAGCTCCTACTCTGCAGCACTGTAGCTAAGAGGTGGCTCTGGAACTGGCTGGAGGCTCAGAAGTCACCTGAGGAAGCAGGTGAAGAAATAAATGTGAACTGGTAGCCTAAGTATCTCAGGGTAGAAGGAAACTAAGGGGTGGGACGGGAACTCTCAGCCTCTGTTCTTTTCTTTGCATCCTGGTGTCACCAAGGAGCTCAGACCCTGGCTGAAGCTCTGTCTTGCAGGAGCACTCAGGGGCCTGGAGAGGTCAGGCTGGCTGTCCTTCTTGCTGATCTTTCTGCCTGTGGGCTGTTTCCTTGTAGTCAAAGCGCAGGGAGGCACTCTGAGCCCTTGGTGATGGCCTTGGCTGGGCCGGGCTGCCTGCCCCACCTGGCCTCTTTTGCCTGCTTGCCTGCTGCCTGAACTCCTCCCAGCACAGCTTTGGGTGGAGGAAACCTTGGGGCTGGAGGCAGCTGCTGGGGTCTGTCCTGACCCAGCCGGGACTTGGTCTTCCTCTTTCTGACCTCCTCATCTCAGTGGCGTGGGCAGACAGGGCATGCTAGGAGGGTCCCCTCTGTTTTCACTGCTATGGACGCCTTGTGCTATTTTCTCTGTTCACCTGCCCGGTTACAGAGTAAAACTTCCTGTCAGGTCTAATTTATGAAGTATGATATGTTCATACTACATAGATCAGACACTGAATAGATTATTGTTAAGGCTACAATTAATTTATTTCCCCATCAAGCTTAATTAAGAACATATCTGCCAATCAGAATTTCGATTAGCATGGGATAATTGACTGAGTGAAGTAATAGTATGTTTGAAGTACTGAAAAATAGATAGGCGGTCTCTATAGTTTAGGGGAGGAGATAAAAGCAAAGGCTCTGGAGTCAAATGGCTTTTAACCTTGGTCAAGTTACTTAGTCTTCTGGGCTTCCTTTTCCCCATCTGTAAAATGGG